TTCAAAGCTATGAGTGTTTTATTTCTTTATAGATAGTATAGTCACTGCTTCTTGAGCTACTGATGGCATTTCAAACTGATCATGACCTTGACTTTCTTGATATTTGTTGAGATCTATACACCATTTTTAATGTTCTTTATCCTTTCCTAAAGATCTGAGCTTTCCTCTGGTATTTTACTTCAGACTGAAAAACTTCCAACAGCATTTTTTTTTTGATAGTATAGTTCTGCTGGCAATAAATTCTTAAGAGTTAAAAAGAGATCTTTGTTTCACCTTCATTTTTGAGGGATATTTTTTGTGGATATAGTATTCTAGGTTTAAATTTTTTTCTTTCAACACTTTAATGCCATTCCACTGTCTTTTGAAACCATCATAGTTTCTGATGAAAAACCCACAGTGATACAAATTGCTATTTGTATGTAATGTGTTGTTTCTCTCTGGCATTTTCAAGTTTTTCTCTTATTTTTGGTTTACAGCAGTTTGTTGGTAACATTACAAAGTGAAATTTTCTTCATGTTTGATGTTCACTCCTGTTTGATGTTCACTGAGCTTACAGAATCTGTACATTTTTGTCTTTCACCAAATCTCCAAGGTTTTCAAACCATTATTTCTTTAAATACTTATTATGTCTCATTCCCTTTCTCTTCTTTTTCTGGAATTCCAATTACATGTATATTATATCTTTTGGTATTATCCAATACGTTTCTGATGCATTTTTCATTATAAACCCTCCCCCCTCATCCTTCAGATTGAACAATTAGTATTGATTTATCTTTAAGTTTGTTCTCTCCTCTTTCATTTCCATTCTGCAACTAATGCCACACAGTTAATTTTTAAAATTTAAGATGTTGATGTTTTCAGTTCTAGGATTTTCATTTGTCTCTTTTTTATACTTTCTATTTCTCTGCTGAGACTGCCTTCATTTCAATTGGCTTTCCCTTTTACCTTCTGTGGGTAATTATAAGAGTTACTTTAAAGTTCTTTTTGGGTTAATTCCAACATATGGATCACCTCAGGACTACCTTTTAAATTATCTTTTCCCTTTTTTGTTTCTTTGTATATTAAGAAATTTTAGATTGCATCCTGGACATCATGATGTTTTGTTCTGGAGAGTCTGAGTTCTGTTGTATTTGCCAAAGTGTTGATGTTTCTAACAGACAAGCAACTTGATCTGATTCAAGCTGCAAACTCTATCCCACCTGTGGTCGGCAGCGCCTCCTCAGCTCAATTCTTTTTTTAAACTATTTTATTGTTGTTCAATTACAGTTGTCTGCATTTTTTCTCCAGCACTCCCCCACCCAGCCCAGCCAAACCCACCCCCTTCCATGCTTCCACCCTCCCCCTTGGGTTTGTCCATGTGTCCTTTACAGTAGTTCCTGAAAACCCTTCTTCCTACTGTCCCCTTCCCCCTCCCCTCTGGCTATTGTTAGATTGTTATTAATTTCAATGTCTCTGGTTATATTTTGTTGGCTTTTTTCTTTTGTTGATTATGTTCCAGTTAAAGGTGAGATCATATGGTATTTGTCCCTCACCACCTGGCTTATTTCACTTAACATAATGCTGTCCAGTTCCATCCATGTGGTTGCAAAGGGTAGGAGCTCCTTCCTTCTCTCTGCTGCATAGAATTCTATTGTGTAAATGTACCATAGTTTTTGATCCATTCATTTACTGATGGGCACTTAGGTTGCTCTCAGCTCTTGGCTATTGTAAATTGTGCTGCTATGAATATTGGGGTGCATAGGTTCTTTTGGATTGGTGTTTCAGGGCTCTTAGGGTATAATCCCAGCAGTGGAATTGCTGGGTCAAAAGGCAGATCCATTTTTAGTTTTCTGAGGAAATTCCATACTGTTTTCCACAGTGGCTGCACCAGTCTGCATTACACCAACAGTGCACTAGTGTTCCGTTTTCTCCACAACCTCTCCAACACTTGCTGTTTGTTGATTTGTTTATGATGACCATTCTGACCGGTGTGAAGTGGTGTCTCATTGTGGTTTTAATTTGCATTTCTCTGATGGCTAGTGATGCTGAGCATCCTTTCATATGTCTCTTGGCCCTCTCTTTGTCCTCCTTTGAGAACTGTCTGTTCAAGTCCTTTGCCCATTTTTTAATTGGGTTGCTTGTCTTACTAAAGTGGAGTCATTTTGAGTTCTTTATGTATTTTGGAGATCAAACCCTTGTCTGAGGTATCATTGGCAAATATGTTTTCCCATATAGTTGGCTCTCTTTTCATTTTAATGGTGTCTTCTTTAGCCATGCAGAAGCTTTTTAATTTGATGAGGTTCCATTTGTTTATTCTTTCCTTTATGTCCCTTGCTTTAGGGGACATATCAGCAAGGATGTTGCTGTGTGGAATGTCTGAGATTTTCCTGCCGATGTTTTCCTTTAGGACTTTTATGGTGTCATGACTTATATTTAACTCTTTTATCCACCTTGAATTTATTTTTGTGTATGGTGCAAGTTGGTGATCGAGTTTCTTTTTTTCGCAAGCTGTCCAGGTCTCCCAACATCATTTGTTGAAGAGGCTATTTTTACTCTATTTTATGCTTCTTCCCTCTTTATCAAATATTAGTTGACCATTGAGACTTGGGTTTATTTCTGGGCTCTCTGTTCTGTTCCATTGGTCTATGTGTCTGTTCTTATGCCAGTACCAGGCTGTTTTGATTACAGTGGCCTTGTAATATAGTTTGATATCAGGTATTGTGGAGGGATTAGTTCAATTCTTTTATCCTTAGCTTCAAGCTGCTTTGAGTCGTTCTATGCTGGTATGGTGCAGCAATCACCCAGAGACTTGGGCAGAGTCTATACACAAAATTTGGAGCTTTCATTCTTAGCTACTCTCCTTTTTGAGATTTCCTTCCTCACTTTTCTGTGGCTGTGTCTGACCCAAACACTTCTCTGGCTCTTCAGCAAAAAAAATTTCTTCTGTCAATTTAGTTACCCTACACTATGATGTGACTGTTGCCTGCCTTAGTCTAATGCCTTAAAAAGAGGAAACTCACACACTAGTGTTGGTCCCTCCTTCCAAGTTTCAATTCCTCATCAAAATCTGCCAACTTTTGTTTACTTTCCAGAACCTTCAGGTAGTTGCTTGTATTTTGCTCAGAGTTTATAGTTATTATCTCTAGGGTCGAAAATCTGTTAATACCTCACTCTGCCATGCCAGAGGCAGTACTCTGCAACACTATATTTTTTTTAAAAAGGACTCTTTTAATTTTGAAATAATTTCAGTTTTTTGAAAAATTGTAAAGGTAGTACAGAAAGTCTGTATATCTCCCACCCAGTTTCAGTTTCCTTTCATCTTATCCTGTCACATTATCATGGCACATTTGTCAAACTAAGAAACCAGTAATGGTGCAATACTATAAACTAAACTCAACTATTTCACCAGTTTTCCCATTAATATCCTTTTTCTACTGTAGGATCCAATCCAGGATACCACACTGCATTTAGGTATCACATTACCTTACTGTCTGGTCTATGACAGTTTCTATATCTTTTCTTTCTTTTTTCACCTTGCAGTTTTGAGGAGTACTACTAGTCAGGTAACCTATAGAATATCCCTCAATTTGGGTTTGTCTGATGTTTTCTCATGATTAGACTGGGGTTATGTGTTTTGGAAAGGAATGCCATAAATGTAAATTGTTCTTTTCATCATATTCTATCAAGGGTTACATGATAGTCATATGACAATAGTCATGATGTTAACCTTAATTATTTGGTTAAAGTATTCTACTTTTGGAGAAATATGATGCATGCAACACTTGTCTCCACATTCTCGCTTCTTTTAAAACAAAGCTTCATGGAAACTCCTTGTTTAAAGATATCATGTAGTCCAACCTCTCACTCAAAATTGCTTCCTTTCACCTATAACTCCAAGGAGATTAAGCAATTAAAAATGATAATATCTAGGGAAATTTGTCACAGAAAAGAAGATATGCAGAGGATAATAAAAACACATGTTTCTTCCAAATAAGTTCTTAAAGTCTTATGGTGACCAACAGTGCATAACACAATTTAATACATGTCTTTCCTTTATTAGCGCATTAGTAGCTTAGAAAATTTTAGTTATCTGGCTTTGGGATGATGCCTGAGGAGTTTGGTGGTAGTGGGGAGAGAATCCTCCCCCCGCCCCCCCAAAAAAGACATTGCCCACATGTGATGAACATCAACTCTTTACTTCTTAAGTGTAAAACAAATACTGGACTTGCAGGTACAGTTGTTCAAACTGAGTTATACATTTTGGTGTGCTCATCCTTACTGAAAAGTGCCAATTTAGTATGTGAAGGATATAAGCACAAATATTCTCCACCCATTCTCCAACCCCATCCTAGCCAGGGAGTGAATCGTAGAAAACTAACTTTAACTTCTTACATCATAAATTTGCTTTTGATGATCACATCCCTGATGATCACAGGTACCAAATCAGAACGCAATGTACAATTCAGGCACCATTTATATAATGAAATTAATTTTGTTTCAATAGTTAAAAACAATTTCTTTAGAAAATTTGGCAGTTATTCTAATGTAATTGGACTATTTTATAAAACTTTTCAGTAAAGGTCTATTTCAGTAGTTTGAAAATACCAACTCAAAAGCACAATATGTAACACAATACCTAAATATTAGGAGAGGGAATGTTGGAGAGCGGGTACTAGAGCTCTGATAACTCCATTCTTCTTCCATGGTCTTGGAGGCATTTCAGTAGAGCCCATTTAAAAATTACTAGTCAAGATAAATGACTCCCAGAATTCTCAGTATTTACTATTACTTTTCACATATTTTAATAAAAAGCTCTTTGGGAGAGACATATAGCATGCAAGTATCTTCACTGGGGGTGTCTCAAAAGGTGAGTTATTGACTTTGGAAGAACTCAATCAGAATAAAATACTTTCCTTTAAAAAATTAGAACAAAATTTAATTAACTTTTTTCTCTCCACTTTAGAAATTATACAGTTGACTGTACTTCATAGGGGCTAACCCATATACAAGCTAATTCTTACCTGAAGGTGGCCACAAAGTTCACCGTGGGCCAACCCACAACAAAGGATCTCATGGCATCGGTGTTGCCTTCTCCCACTTCATCCACACAACTGGCTGTCCACATGTCACTTAACTTTATTTTATTCTTTATCTTAAAGTTGTTGTTATATCTAGGAATATAAAAACCAGACAATACTTGTTTTGTTTCTTAAATTTTATGAGAGTTTCTGTACTTGTGATAAAAGAACAGTTCAATCAAGGCAAAGGATATCTTACTCATTGTTTTTATTTTCAGTGCTTACCACTGTAAATTGCAGCATGGTTGGCTACCACAGCCCCAAAATATCTTTAAAATATTTGGTGTATTAGTCCTCATGCCTGCATTTAGCTATAAACTGGCTGCTTTATTTTTCTGTATGTTAAGCATTGCATTTGGATCAAAATCCTGATTTTAAATGTACTGCTGTTATAAAAAATGAATTGATTTCTTACTTATAATTTGCTTACTTCCAAAAACATTTGAGTACCTGAACAAGAGATTAAAATACACATTATTAATTAAAATATTTATAAAATGTTTACCTTGATAGAGATTGATATGTTAAAAAATATAACCTGAAATTAGAGGAATTTATAATGCATTTCCAGCTGAGTGGTTATAAGATTTTCTAGTCTCTAGAAGCAAAAGTTATTTTAGATTTTGTTTGTACCATTTCCCCTTATATTTTGGAAAATGGAAAAAAAACTAGCCTAAAAACAGACCCTACACCAAAATGAAAAAAAAAAAAGAGGCCAGGAAGTATTATATTTAAGTAGAATTGACATAATTAATATTTGTCTCTGGGGACTCAGAAGTGATCTACTTGAAGTTGGCAATGCAATTGCTTTTTGACAATTTCTACCTATTTCGCTTAGTATCCTGATACTGACACCACCATGTCACTTGACCTAATTCACATATTTAATGCTCGTGTTGGGCCTAGGACATAAGTAGTTAGAAGGTACTGGGAAGGATAAAGAGAATGCCCAGGGAAACCTGGGCACTTCCTGTCATTCAGAATCATTTGTAGATACTTCATATGGAAATATTCCTAAAACTCCTCATGGAATGTTTAAAGCTAAAACTCTTCAGTAGGATTTATAAAATGAAAAAGGATTTTGCAGGAACTATGCATGAAGGATAATCTATATCCAAAGCCTTATTTATGCTTACCATAGGGCACACTTAATGTAAGGGAAATAAAAAATGCTTGATGGCACAATGGCTTCCTTCTATATTTCATTTCAATGTTTTTCACCCTATTGTTACAGATCTTTCAATTTTTTAGTTAAACACTCAACTGATAAAATCTTATTTCTCTTTTTAAAATCTTATTTCTTGTTAGCAACTATTTAGGTTATATAAAACTGAAACTACAAATCCTTTGGAAGGAAAGGTATGTCTTCAGATTTGTTTTCATGCATTTTTGTGTTTAGTAATGCAGGTCTCTTTCCACATTAGTTGGTTCAGCTACCATGTGGGAACTGCCACATCTATTGACCTGAAAAAAGTTATTCCAATGATTCTTTCCCTCGATCAGTAATGTGCCAAGGTTATCCATTTCCTGAATCAACAACAGGGTGTCTAAATGTAAAAATAATGCCTTCAATTCTAATGGCTGCTATTTATTGAAAATTTATCATGTTCCTGTCATTGTTATAAACCCTTTACATATATTATTTAGTTTGATCCTCAAGCAATTTACAGATAAGAAATACATTCATGGAGAGATTAAGACACTTGTCAAAATTCAAACAGCTTAATTAGCAGAGCTAAAATATAAATATGAATGTGAGCAGAGTTGATTCCTGAGCTTATTTATGCTCTTAAACACTATGCATCTATAAAAAGCCCTGGATGGGAGTATATTTCCATGAGGTTCCTTTCCTTCAGCTTTTCTATCATCAGTCTTACTCTCTTCTCTTTTAGTATCTAAAAGTTTTTTTCTATTTCAAGGATCTTGGGTTCATTACTCTCCTCCCCTCAATCACACTTTTTATATTTCCAATGAATGCAGAACATACTTAAAACAATCTTTCATGAATTGAATCACTTAAATGAGCACAGCATTAAATCAACTGATATACACTTTGTCAGCTCATAAAAACATTTAAGTGGACGTAAAGATCTTTGAAGCAGTGTGTGGAAAAAAATGATGTACACCTTATGTGAGAAAGGAACAATCAAAATAAAAAGTTGGCTATAGAAGTAGATGATAGGTACAGATTTTGCCAATATATCTAAAAGAAATTTACTAGTGGGAAAGAAACTGTCTTTACATTAAAACTTTTTTTTAAATTATATTTTAATTGTTCAAGTACAGTTTTCTGCCTTTTACTCCCATCCCAGCCCACCCCCAAGCCCTCCCCACCTCCCTCCTGTTTCCACCCAGCCCCCTTATTTTTGTACATTAAAATTTTTCAGCAAAACATTATATAGTTTACATAAAACCACTTAGATGCTGGCAATATTCAGAACAATGACTTTCAATTAGAAAACAAAAGACTTATACTCTCATAATTGTTGAGGAAAAAAATCCAAAAAAGGTGAAGGAGAATACTTTCTTTTATAAGAACTAAATTCATGTTAAAGTAAATAGTTTTTAAGGTCCCAAAGTGCAAAAAAATAGATTATTGTAAGTTTTCAACCCTTGTTTATTTACTTCTAGGCTAAGCACAAAGTTAAGCACAAAGTTATGCACAAAGTACAGTGTGGAACAGTAGAAAGGGCCAGTCACTGGAAGTAAGTCTTAGATTAAAAGCCTAGCTCTATCATTTTTCAGTACAGTGATTTTTAACTGGCGTGCCACAAGAATTTTTAGAACAGTCAATACCTGACTAATTAGTCAGGGGCATTGACCTCTTTTCCCTTAGACTGACAAATAAAAAATGACTACAACCAACACAACAATAGCCATCCAGTGTGAATGAATCAAAATTATACCTATTTTTTTGTCAGATTGCCAAAAAGTATATTTTTGGTGTGTTATAGAATTTTAGTGATTACTTTGTATGTGCCATGAGATAAAAATGTTGAAAATTGCTATTCTAGTACACAACCTTGGACAAACCTCCCCTCTCTTTGAGTTTCAGTGTTTAATATCTAATACCACTCTTGTCTTGGGGATTTGTTAAAAAGATTAAATTACATCTTTGTGATTCCCTTATTATAATACATAGTATACAGAAGCCATCCCATACATTTTAAATAAAGGGATGGTAACTCATGCACATTTTTAAAAAATAATGATTTGTCCCTCTATGAATAGCACAGAGTCCCTGTGCCAATAGCACAGAGTTCCAGATGGATTTAGTACAAAGGCTTGGATGGAGCGACTTTGCTTTTTCTATATTCCTCATAAGATCATCTCCACTTCCAAAACTATATTTGCCTGTATTACTCCTATTCAAAAACATATTCTGAGTTTTAGTTTCATTCCACTGTGTGGAAAGGACACATGGTAAGATTTCAATCTTACTAATTTTGGTAAGACTTGAGATATCACCTCATACCTGTTAGGATGGCTATTATTTAAAACAACAATAATAACAAATCCCCAAATGAACAAATAAAAAAGCACAAAAAACAACAAGAATTGATGAAAATATGGAGAAACTGGAACCCTTGTACACTCTTGGTAGGAATGCAAAATGGTGCAGCTACTATGCAAAACACTATGGGAGTTCCTGAAAAAATTAAACATACAACTGTCACACGATCTACCAATGCCACTTCTAGGTATTTATCAATGGATTGAAATCCAGACCTTGAAGAGATACCAGCATTCTCATGTTTGATGCAGCACTATTTACAATAGCCAAAATGTGTAAAAATCCTAATTATCCATTGATGAATAAATGGATAAAGAAAATATAGTATATACATACAATGCAATATTATTCAGCCTTAAAAAGGAAATTGTAAAATATATGACAACATGAATAAACCTAGAGGACATTATGCTAAGTGAAAAACACCAGTCATATTGGTGACACATATTGCATGATGCCACTTGTGAGGTACCTAAAACAGTCAAACTTATAGAAGCAGAGTGGAATGTTGGTTGCTAAGGGCTGGGGGAGGGTGAAAGGGGTGAATTACTAATTAATGAACATTAAGTTTGTTACGCAAGTTCTAGAGATCTGCTATACAACATTACACCTATTAGTTAATAATACTGTATTGTGCACTTAAAATTTTGTTAAGAGGATAGATCTCATGTTAGGTGTTACCCTACAAAAAAGATCTTTTTCCAAAGGAAGAAAACCCAACACAGTATGAAATAGTTCCTTATCTTTATCTTTGCCTCTTAAAAAATATCAATAATTTACTAAGCATTTATATAATTTCTTCCTAGATGAGTATTTATTTGATCCTTTTATTTCATCAAAAAAAAGAAAAACTGATTCAATGGTTAAAAAACTAAATGGTTGAGGAATCTTCTATGAAATCCATAAGGAAAGAGGTAATAGAGACAGCAGACCACATATTGGTTAAAAGCATGGATTTTCAAATAAGATACACCTACGTTTAAATGTGGGCTCAATTAATTACTAACTTTGGGATCTTAAAGAGGTCATTTAACATCTCTGAGTATCGATTTCTTATGTAAAATGAGAAAAATAATATTGACCTTATGGAATATTTATGAGTTAAAGTCTTTAGAAAAGTATCTAACATATAATAAGATCCCAATAAATGTGAGGTCTCTTATTATTATTACTCAGATTAAATATAGTGTTTTGTAAAATTAGTATTTAGCCATGCCTATGTCTTATTTATAACATGGCATATTTTAGGTGTGAAACTGTGGAGAGAAAAAGATACCATATTTGAGTGACTAAAAATCTCTTTGATGAGATTAGATTTATTAAAATACTGTTGTCCTTTATGATTTTTCATAAACAATGAGAAAAGGGGATAGAACAAGTGGCAACCACCATGTTCTAGGCTGGGTGCTAATTGCATTGGCATTAGCATTGAGTGGAAAAGTTAATTCTGGTATCCTCTAAAGTGTATTCCAAATAAGTCTGTATCCTTCACTGAATTGCCGTTTCAGATAAAGACCTCATTACTGCTTATCAGGACTACTACAATAACCTCCTGTCCAGTCTCTTTGCTTCTACTTGTGCCTATTTTCTAATCTATACCTTAGCTCTCAGAGCCAGAACAATATTTTAGAAGAATGAACCACATTATACTACTATCTTAATTAACACCCTCTGGAATAAAATATAAACTCTGTATCATAGCCTGTGTGATACTTAGCTTATGAGATGGCCCCCAATGATCTCCTTTCCTGAGAGTCACACTTTGAGTAGTTCCCTCCCACACTGTACCAAGGATGGTCTGTGTGGCCAATAACATATATCAGAAATGATGGTATGCCACTTCTAAAATTAGCTTACAAAAGACTGCAATTTCTATTTTGGGTGTTCTCTCATTTGCCTACTCTCTTTCTCACTCTTTTGCATCTTTCTCTCCAAGGAAGCAATACCATGTTGTGGGCAGTCCTATGGGAGACCCATGTGAAAAGGAACTACAGCTGCAGGTCAATAGCCAATGAGGAACTGAGGTGTGCCAGCATTCATGTGAATGAGCTGGGGAGTGGACTCTCTAGTTCCAGTTGAACTCTAAGATGATTATAACCCGGTCGACAGCCTGACTGCAACTTCATGAGGGCTGAGTCTGAACCACAGCTAAACCACTGCCAGATTCCTGACACAGAAAAACTGCATGAGATGTGTGTAGTTATGCACTGTTATTTTTGGGGGTAATTTGTTATACGACAGTAGATAATTAATACAGCCTACAAAGGTGCTGATAACCTAACCTTTGTCTGTTTCTCCCATCTCCACTCCTATTCCTCTCCTCCTGCACATTAGGCTCCTGTTATATACATAGGCAGGCCTTCTTCTAACTCCTCCAAAGGGACAAACTTTCCCCACCACCTTTGTACCTGGTATTCCCTCTGCCTAGAATGCTCATCCTCCTAATATCTGAACGGCTGGTTGCTTTTCATCCTTCATTAATTTTTCCCTCTAACTACATCTACCTAACATATGTTACACTTTTACTTCTTCCAGCACCCTATTTTCTTCATAGAATTGTCACAATCTGTAATTAATGCCCCCTGCCCAAAACCATAATAATGAAAGCACCAAAAAGCAGGGACCACACCCATCACATTCTTCACTGATCCCCTACATTTATGCAGAGTGTGGCACAGGGTGGGACTTAAATGAACACTTGTTTAATGAATAAACAATTGAGACCTCTTATTGTAAAAACAAAACAAACATAAAACTCACTTCAGCTATTAGCTATCGTAATAGAGACCAGCCATTCTCACAGTGAACACTGAATAGAAAGGTTATTTAGTCAGTGGAAGTGTAATTTTATGATACCTAGGAGCAAGTGTGGAGTATACTTACTTGCTTTTGGCCACAACAAACAGATCATTGAAGAGGAAAAGGTGCCGCTCCTGCCTTTGCAGGCCTCTTTTGAGTTCCACTCGGCCATCAATTAGCAGAGTCCTATTGGAGCACATAGATGATGACAGAAATGTGTCCATGCTGGCAGAAGGACTCTCCCTATAACAGATCAAACACCACAGATCCTTAGTCAAATGATCACATATGGGATTGAATGCCCATAAAATTATAGCTTATAGTTGGTCAAGAAATAAAAAATTCTATAATTTTTTATACAATGGCATAGTTTCCTAAGTGGTGCCCCAGGCTATCTCCACAAGTAGTCTAACATTTTATTATGAAAAATTTTCAAACATAAATTAAAATTGGAAGTTTTGTAATAAACACATTATAAATACCCCAATGTACGTACTACAATTAGAACTTTACCATACTTCCTTTAATATACCTATCTTTCCTTCTGTCTACTCATTAATTCATTCTATTTTTGGCATTTCAGTGGAAACTGCATAGAGTGGTACATTTTCCCTTTAAATGCTTCAACATGAATATCCCTAACTAGATTTCAATATTTATAATTTTTAAAAATCCTGTGTTATCTTAATGACCAAGTCAACACAAAAAATTTAGTAAAAATAAAAATAAAATGTACATGGAACCTTGAAAAATGTATGCACAATGAACTGTACAAACCTTAGGTGAATATTTACTGAGTTTGAATAATTGTATTCACCTGAGTAATCTAAACCCTTATCAAGCTGTAGAACACTATCGTTACTCCAAACAATTTCCTTTTCCCCCTTCTCAGTCAGTTGTTATATAAATCAGCTCAAGATGGACTCAAGATGTACCAATCCCTGGATTATTTATTTCTTCACTGCAGACTGAGATTCATTAACAAAAAAGTCTACTGGAACCAAACTCAAATTTTTATATGCCAAATTATTTTAAAAGTAATCAGACAAGCAGATCTTTAGCCATTTATTGTTTGCCTGCTTTGCATACTCCACAAAACTATGCCCGACCATCCATTGATAAGATAAAGCCTTGTGGTTGTAAGACCCCACGTCACTACCACCCTTTGGAGCTCTGTGACCCAGAGTTTCCCGACCTTGCTACTGAAGTAGACGTGTAATCTCCAGAGACACCGTCTTCAATATCCATCACTTCCAGAATTCCCTTGCCCATCTCCCCTTCTAGATGGTGGCCCTGTGGCCACAAGCCTAGACAGTTTCATGCTGTAAGGACTTCCTTTCTCATGCAACCTTGACTAATGGTCATATCTTTGTCCTTGATCAGCCCCCAAATCCCTCAAATTCCTTATAAAAGTCCATCCCTACCCTATCATGCTAAAGGTGACCACTATTCTGATATTTTTCCCACTAAAGATTAGTTTTGCCTCTTCTAGAACTTCATATAAATGGAAACATAGAATTTGTCAGGGTCTCCATCAAGGTATAGGATGTAAGAGGCCATGCCCTGTCATCCCTAGTATCTGCTTCACATGGCAGCCACAATAAATGGACAGGTTAGCTTATTTATGCTTCTTGGGTTAGAATAATATTGTTTTAGGCAGTTAGACAGAGTAGAGTAAGGATGATAGGCCAGGTACAGAAAGTCACCAGGTGGAAAGCCCTGGGTGTCTAGCAACAGGCAGAACTGGGAAAACAAGGACCTCACCCCAGGGTGACTTGTCTTCCCCCAGCATGTTGCTGGTCATGTGGTTTAGACCCTCTGACCTTTCTGTTTGCTGGTCATATGGGTTTGACCCCCTTAGAAGGGGAATGAACCAAGGGGCCCAGAGAATAGCCCTTAAAAATTAAGCCACCAGAAAAATGAAGTTCTGACCCTCATCAAATACATCTAGGCCTCAGTTGTGTTTTAGCTCCAGGCCCAGAAAAGCAGCAAAACCAGACAAATGATGCTAAGGCTGATTTCAGGACAAGCTGTATTGACTAATGACCCCCTGCCCTGGCATCAACCAGTCAGTAGAGACCACTGACTGAAGGACATACCTGGGAAGCTGGTGAATATTCTATAGAAATCCTCCCCGGAAATCCCTACCCTTAAATGCCCTTGGGACACAGGTGGCAAACACAAGGCCCACAGGCCGAATCTGGTCCTCTACCTTGTTTTATCCGGCCAGCACCTTGTTTCTACCCAGCGGCAGTGCTGAGCTCCTTGCCCCTAGTTAAGGAGTAGTCACATTTATACAGTCCTAAAATTACATTCAGCCATTTGAAGGCAACCTCGAGGCTGATGTGGCCCCCAGTGAAAATGAGTTTGACACCCCTGCCTTAGGACCAATGACCCAGTTCAGTTCTCCCTGCTGGAGAACATGCCCGTTCCTTTTGTCTCCCCCATTTCTACCCCCCTCATGTGCGTTACCTTTATCTTCCTCTCTCATAAGCTCCAAGGGCCCTTCTTTTGCCTCTGTAACTTATTTCCTGAGCCCATTCCTTCTACAGCTCACTTCTACCTCTGTGACTTTCTAAATAAACTTTCTCTTATAGTTGGAGTCTTGACTCTGAATTCTTTCTTAGCCAGAACTCAAGGTACCCAGGATGCTGAATCAAGGTCCAATCTGACTCCACTGCTGCTGTTTTCATTTTGTCGGCAACAGTATGGGTCACAGTGTCTAATCTCCCCTGGGTATACTAAAAGGCCAAGGACCATACGCTATCCCGGTAAGTCTCTGAAGTAATGCCTTAATGTTTACCCATTCTTTCCTCTGTCATAGGTGTTCATAAAGCGTGGCCTCCTGCAAGTAGCATTAGTATCAACTGGGAACTTAAAAAATGCAGATTCTCAGGCCTACCTCAGACTTCCTGAATAAGTAACTCTGGAAGGTTGGGTCAGCATTCTGTATTTTAACAAGCCATTTAGATTATTCTAATACACATTGAAGTTTGAGAACCACTTATGACCCCATAACACATTCTGTCTGTAACAGTTTCAAGTTTTACAACTATGCATTAAATAAAGTAAGTATAAGTAGCATATATTTGTACTTCAGATAAGGTGAACTTCTGAGAGTTGTTCCATCATTTCCTGTGGTTTTTGACCTACAGCTTCCTCTCCTAATATGTAAATTCTATTATGCTCACTAATTACTAGTTAAGCACATACTATGTATAAGTGAATAACAAGGCAAGTCAATCAAAGTCCTTTGAAAGAAAAGGGAAAGAGAGTTTCTATGTTTGATATTATGGGTTGGAATTAAGCAGAGAGAAAAGGCCCATCACAGAGAAAAAATCCTTCCTATTTGAAATTTTCTTGGGTGGGGGAGCAGGAGAGGCAAAATGGCATCTTTTATTAGGCAGTGATTTCAAATTTATAGAAAATAAGAATATTTCACAAGGCTATCAAACAATTAATGGCCAACACAGCATTTTACATAGTTTAGTTTCTTAATTGTCTGACAGGAGAATTTTGCAAGGGGAAAAATCATCTTCTGCATTTAAATTTTAGATATTCAATAAATAATTGCTTTTTGATTATAATGATAAAGCATTAAATAGCAGTACAGTTTAGACTAGGCATCCTCAAATTATTACTCAAAGGGTCTGATAGTAAATATTTTAGGCTTTGTGGGTCATATGGTCTCTGTAGTCAACTTCAACTGCCTTTGTAACACAAAATCAGTCATTGATAATACTTATATGTATAGGTGTGGCTGTGATCCAGTAAAACTTTAGTTACAAAAACAGGCAGCCTGTTCAGGGCATAGTTAGCTGACATGGGTTTATGCAATACCTCTAAAACATTTAAATGCTTATAAATAATGGTGAATCTGAAGCAATTATTAAATTAAATATTTTTTTTTGCCTGGGGTTAGAATAGACCAAAGGTTAATTACATTATTTAAAAAAATGGTTTACATTTTAAATCAATTTCAAAGAATTTCCATACATACTAACTCATTTTACACCTCACAATAATACTTTCAAATAAGTAGATTTGATTGTGGGGGAGAATCTGTGGTGAGTTGAAAATATTTTTCTTTTTCAGTATGGATTTACCAATGTACACTTTAAAGATCTACATATAATTATGAGAAGAGATGCCTCATGACTTAAGTAACCTAAGCATTGGTTACCAACACCACCCCCAACATTCAAGCAGTAGAATTTACTTGAGTAAAAATAAACATCTCAGCAATCACATAATTTAAAATAAAAAATTCTTTTGCAGAAGAAAACAAAAATACAAATAAACTTTGTTCTTTTTAAAACTACAATCTTAATCAGTGTTTCCTACTTAAAAATATATTTCTCAATTATGTGACTCTGAAGTATTTATTTTCATTCTGAGTGCAATGTAGATGTGTTTATTTTAGTGTCTAGAGTATGGAAATGGGGAAGAGGGGTAAGATTATAACCTTCTATTTAGTCTCTTAATATAGCCTGATTAGGATTTACAAGTTATAATTAACAGAGCTCTAATATGATCTAACAAATACAAGCAGAGTCTAAGAATTAACCTGCTGTATGCTTCTTATGTCTGAACATTCCATTTTCAAATAGCTTTGTGAAGCTATTTCTGAAATGCAGAAGACATTTTAGGACCTTAATCATTTTTTTCAAACTAGATACTAGTTCTCATGAAACTTGGCCACAGTAATATCTCTTAATAGTTATTACTAAGGCTCATTCTATAAGCAAATCCACATTTAGGTAGTTTTAGAGATATTGTTTTTTCATCTTAGACCACAAAACAGAATAAACTAAAATTTATGATAGAATATTTCTTGGAAATGTCTGTTTACACGTGGTAATCAATGAATGATTATGATGACAAGTACTAGATAGGACCTCGACAACCTCTCAAAACCTAGCCCATGGTCACTGCACATTCCAAATGCCATCTTTCCTATGGAAATTTTCTTTCAGATGAATCCTTGGTTGATATTTCTTATATGCTATCTAGCACTTATATCCTGCTTTGCAATTCTCTTTTTAATATATTTTATTGATTATGCTATTATAGTTGTCCCATTTCCCCCCTTCACTCCCCTCCATCCTGTACACCCTCTCCCACCAACATTCCCCCCCCTTTAGTTCATGTCCATGTGTCATAAGTTCTTTAGCTTCTACATTTTCCATACTATTCTTGCCCTCCCCCGTCTATTTTCTCCCTACTGTCTATGCTACTTATTC